ATTTCAACATATTTCCGCTCAATAACTGATAGATTAAGTAGACATGAAAAAATCGGTAAGAATAAAAAAGATCTTACTAGCATAGTTAATAGCTTAACCTAATAAAATACATAAAAATTTACTCCCAAATCCAGCAAACATTCTTTTCAAGCACACACGAAATATTTACAAGAAGTAACCACATGCTGGCCCATAAAACTAGTCTTAACAAACTTGAAATTTATGTAGATTATAGTCTCTGAACTCAACTCAATGACCTATCATTAACAACAGATAGATTAAAAAAGCTCATATTTGACAATTATAAAACACAGTTCTAAAATAACTGAGTCAAAAAATAATGGAAATTTAAAAATATTTAGAACTAAACGGTAACAAAAATTTCACATATGAAACTTGTAGTGTACAGCTAATGTAGTACTTGGGAAATTTTTAGTCTTAAATGCTTATGTCAGAAAATAAGAAAGGCAAAAAAATTAATGAACCAAACATCCAACTTAAATGATTAAGAAGGAAAACCAAATAAAACAGAACAAACTCAAAGAAAGTAAATAATAAAAATAAGAACAGAAATTCATCAAAGAGTAAGTAAACATATAGTCGAGATGATAAAAAAGCTACTGGTTCTTTGAAAAGATCAATGTAACACATTTCTGGCAAGACTGTTCAAGGAAAAAAAAAGAAGGTCCACTAACAGTATTAGAAATGAAAAAGACTTAATCACAGATGCTGTATGACAATTTAAAAAATTATTTAAACATATTATGAACAACTTTATGCCAATAAAATTTAAAATTTAGATGAAATGGACAAAGCCTTAAAATATATATTATATATTACACATAGCTTACTAAAATAAGTAGAAAACCTGAATATCCTATAATCATGTTTTAAAAAGCATCAGAAGTCTTTCCACAGGAAGAAAGACCAGCCCCAGATGGTTTTACGAACTAATTCTACCAAAACTTATTATTCTAGGAACAAATAATTCTAATCTCACACAATGATTCCAAAACACACAAAAAAGAAATACTTCAACTCATTTTATGAGGCTAGCCTAACCTTGATGCCAAAACTTGACAAGGATATAATGAGGAAAGAAAATTACAAATGATTTCACACATGAACATAAATGTAAGTGTTCTTTAAAAAATTAGTAAACTATAAAAAACCATAAAAAAGCTAATATGCCATAATCAGATTGGGCTTATTTCAAGAATTCACGGTTAATTTAACATTTTAAAGTAACAATTGATATGCTATTAACATATAGTCGATAATGTTGTAAAAACTATGTATGGTGTCAGATGGGTACTAGGTTTATTGGAGGGATCACTTCATAAATTATATAAATGCCTAACCACTGCAGTGTACAACTGAAACTAATATAAAATAATATTAAAAGTCAACTATAATTTAAAAATATATATATAGTCACAAGCTGTAAAGTACAGTACAGGGAATATAGTCAATGGTATTGTAATAGCTATGTACAGTGTCAGACTTATTGGGGTTATCACTTTGTGAGGGGTGTAAATGTCTAATCATTATGTCGTTCTGTACACCTGAAAATAATAAAAAAAAGAAAACAAATACACTATTCACAGGTTAAAGGAGTAAAATCATATAACCATCTCAATAAGTACAGAAAAAGCATTTGATAAAATTTGAGGGCCGGCCGGGTGGCTCAGTTGGTTAAGAGCACGAACTCTGAGCAAGATGGTTGCCAGTTCGATTCCCACATGGGCCAGTGAGCTGCGCCTGAGCTGAGCTGCCAATAGGTGGCAGGATGGCTCGGCTGGTGAGAGCACGTGCTCCTAACAACAAGGTTGCTGGTTCGACTCCCACATGGGATGGTGGGCTATGCCCACCCGCAACTAAGACTGAACACGGCACCTTGAGCTGAGCGGCCGCGAGCTGCTGACAGGCGGCCAGATGGCGACTGGACTTGGAGCTGAGCTAGCTGCGCCCTCCACAACTAAGATTGAAGGACAACAACTTGGCTGTTCCCCTTTTCCAATTTCCCAACACTGTTCCCCTTTCTCAATTCCCCAATAAAATCTTTAAAAAAAATTGATATTGATGATTAAAAAAAAACAAAACAAAAAACCTTAGCAAACCAGGAAGAAGGTGATTTCCTTAACCTCTCAGAATTTTAAACAGAAAGGCATGGAAACTTTTTTCAAATAACTAGGAATAAATCTAGTAAAAAGTGGGCCAAATCTTCATGAAGTAAATTATAAAACTTCATTTAAAAAGTATTTTTTAAAGGCCTAAATAATTAGAGATATAATGCCGTGGATTAGAAAACCCACTGTCATAAATCTATAATTCTCCCCAAAGTGAGCTATTACAATAGATTAACTGTAATTCTAATCTAAATCTCAACAGCTTTTTCTGTGAACTTGACAAGCTGATTTGAAAATTTGTATGAAAGTTCAAAGGCCTGAAATAGCAATATGCAAATATGGATCTACCTCACGTATAACAAAGTTCTAAGAATGAAGAAAGAGTGGCAATCACACAGAAACGGGCACACTGACCAATGGAACCAAGTAGAAAACTCAAAAACAGCCCCCCACACATATGGACATTTGATTTAGGACAAAAATGGCAGTCTGGAGCAACAAGGAAAGGAATCTTTTCAAGTCACAATGCTGGGACAATTGGGTATCCATATGGGAAAAAATTATATTGGATCCCTCACACCACACATACATAAAACAATCAATTCCAGATGGACTCCCTAGCTTTACGTGTGAAAGATAATGAGAGAGCTTTTAGAAGATAACTTAGGAGACTTTCTTCATGATCTTAGAGAAGGCAAAAGTTTCTTAAACCAGACACAGAAGTACTAGCCATGAATATGATTGATAAATATAACTACTTTAAAATTAGGAGCTTCTGTTCATCAAAAGACATCATTAAGAGAAATCAAAGACAAGGCACAGAGTGAGAGATTTCTGCAGCACATATAACCATCGAAAGCGCTTGTAACCATAATATATAAAGAAATCCTACAAAGTCTATGGTATGAAGACAACGACCTAGTTAGAAAAGAGGAATGCTACTATATGTGCTTCACAAATGAGAGAAGCTAAATAAATAACCAAACAAAAAGGTGTTCAACCTCATCAATAATGAAGGACATGCAACTTATAACAAATTCACAATGTGATACCAGTAACTAGCAGCCACATTGCCAAAAATAAGTCTGACAGCACCGCGTGTGGCGCATGGAGCCGCGTGGGCTCCCAGGCGCTGCTGGTGGGAGTGTAAACTGGCACTCCACTTTGCAAAGCAGTGTGCTTATCTGGTAAAGCTGAAGACGCACAGGTCCCATGGCCCAACAATTTCATTCTCAGAAGTGCTTGCATTTGTGGACCAGTGTAAGAATATTTACAACAGCGTTGTTTATAAGAGCCGAAAACCAAAAACAACCCACATAGCCACTTAAGGTAAACTAGAAAAACAAATCTTAGTATAGTTACATAATAGAATGCTATTCATCAGTATAATGAATAAATTGCTGCTGTATGCAATAAAGATGAACGTGATGTTAAGCAATAAAAGCAAGTACTGTACATATATACTCAGTGTGATTCCACTCTTTTAAAATTCTAAAACATGCAAAACCAGAATTTTTATTATTTAGGAGTACAGACATACAAAGGGTGCCAAAAAGTGTATACTCATTTTAGGAAAGGTAAAAACTGTATTAAAATTGCAATACTCAATATATACCAGTAACAAAAGATGAATACAAAGTCACGTTTGACTTCTGCAATTACAAGAGGTGCTCAAAGTGGCTACCATCAGCGTAATTTTAATGCAGTTTCTTCCTTTCTTAAAACGTGTATACATTTTTTGGGCACCCTCTGCATATGGTATACAAACAGAAGAGAATGCTCAACACAGAATTCAGGACAGTAGATAACCTGTGAGGCAAGAGGTAAAGGGATCGGACAGCGGGCGGTACACAGGAAATTCACAGGCATGATTAAAGTTCTTTTTCTTAAATGAAGAAGTGGGTATACATTTGTTATTGTATTATTTGAAATATATTTAATAGTCTTTTGCTGCTATTCAATATTTAATAATAATTTTAAAGAATTCTAAAATATTGTATTTGAAAACACTGTAGTAATAATAAGAATTCCTACGAATTATTAAGTGATTAGCATGTACACATGCCTTAGCTGCACTAGCTAAGACAGCTGAAGGCCCTTGGAGAAGCATCCCATGTCACCCATCACTACTGTCACCGTGCAATGATCAAAGTTGGTGTTTAAGTACCCTGAATAAGCTTAACAGGGACCAAAAAATTCTGTTATTCTCTACGCCAGGCTAAAAGGCTAGCTATTAATAAATCATTTCTCAGCTCAACAGTTTGACTATTCAACAGCTGAACAGTGGGAAGGGGTTCACCCCACCTAGCAGGTACTGACTAAACATCAACTACAAACGCATCCTGTGGCAGGTACGGCTGGGGGAACACGAGGCATTGCCAGGTTTCTGAGTCTACCGATCTGCTGGCCCTTCACTGACAAGCCCTTCACTGACAGACAGACAATACAACGCGACAGGTGTCCACGTAATCGTGTGAGGTTGGTGTTGCAATGGTTTACCCAGGTTGGGAAGAAACCATGGGATCCATTGGCTACATCGGGCCCCACTTTTAATAAAAATATTCTTGGGAAGAAGTTTCTCATCACAAAGGAAGAAATACAAACATTTAAAAAGCAAACAAGTCATCGGCTGCTTTCAGACCTGCTGCCATATGCTTTGCTTTTCTGAGCTTCAGGCTTAACATTAAAATAACAGGCTTGCATTCCTCAAATATCTCTACTGCTGTTCCTTATTTCTACTACTTGAAAAGGCTGTCAGCTGCTGTCACTTGGAGGCATTACCGTATTAGCCACCACTGTTTACTGCTTACTGTGCAGTGTGGCTATTAGTTTAATAAGCCTGTGCTCAGATGATGCCCCAAGCTGTCTATGCAGGAGCCACACGCTGGAGTCTAACATCTAAAGAAGGTGTTGGGGGCTGCGAGGCAGGGAAGGCCCCTTTATAAATACTGATGAGAGAAACTGAATTCAATTGCATCAGGTTGTACTTCACTGATGGGTAAAGGACCGAAGGTTTTTTTTTTTTAAAGTGCTTTAACCACTTTAAGGTTCCATGGGCTAACCAGCTTCGGACAAAATCCAGAAATATACTCGGTATGCAAAAGAGCGAGTGTGAAATCTGCAAGAAGTAAAGCACTGCCGCAGAGCTCTTTAATTCACTCTGCATAAATAGCTGAACCTACAAAAGAAATCTCTAGTCAGAGGTTTCCTGGATTATAATGAGAATTTTCTCGATGGGGAGAAGAGAAGTGCTCTTTTCACTTGAAGACAAAGAAATGTTTGTGATGGAAATGTGGGAACCAATTTTCCAAAAAGAGCTGCTGAAATGCACTGATTAAAAACACAGTGAGGTGATGAGGCAGAGAAAGAAAGACAGCCAAAGCTGAGCCACTTAAAATTTGCGACTGCACTTATTTCTGAAAGTGAAGACAGCCAGCTCGGGCCACCAGCTACATTCCTTCCCCTCCCCTTGCCCGAGCCGCCCCCACCCCATTTCTGCCCCTGCCCCTTAGACAATTAGAACCGGCCAGCGCGCAGGACTGTTTACTGTTTCTGGCCGCTGTGGACTGGTTACTAGGCTACTCCACGGAGGACAACGTAGGAACCGGGCGGCCCCAAAGACTGTCTGTCCTTCCCTGCAAAGCCCAACCCACAGACAGGCCTGATTCGGGGCCTCGGAGGGAAAGTGTGAAGGTAAGTAGACAATTTGAACAGATGGCAGTTTATAATGACAGTTCTTAGGTTATGTACAAATACTGATTGATTTAAGAAATTCCATTTCCTAGAGAATAAAACCAGAGGTCAGGAATTTTGATGAAAATTGCTTAAAATATAATAATTACCTGAAGCTAGTGAAACCCCCTGGTAACCAAGGACAAAGAAGCTCCAAAGCACTTCCCCAAGTTTCAGTCACTGGAGTTCGTTCCGTGTAACTTTTGCCACATCCAGGTCTATCTGCATGAGTATTTACTTAAGATTTTTCTTTAAATTGACTTAAAACAGCTTATTAAAAAAATTCTTAGTCTCCCTCTGACCAATAGTTTCCATGAAATCACACTTTGATATGCAATTATATTTTTTTCTAATGTGCATTAAAAATATATAACTATTAAAATAAAAATGGTCACCCACAATCCATCAAAGATCATCTCGTATGTCCCAAGAGTACACAATGGAAAAAATGGATCAAGTATTTTAACTTAATAAGGGTGATCTAACAGACTACAGTTGGCTTTTGAACTATGCGGGTCCACTTATATGCGGATGTTTTCAATAAATACTGTAAATGTACCTGTTTTCCCTTCCTTATGAGTTTCTTCGTAACGCTTTCTTTTCTCTAGCTTACTTTATTGTAAGAATGCAGTATATGATATATATAACATACAATATATGTGTGAATCAACTATATTATCTGTAAGGCTTCCAGTTAACAGTCGGCTATTAGTAGTTAAGTTTTGGGGAAGTCAGAAATTATATGTGATTTTCAATATATGTGCAGGGGGTTGGTGCCCCTAACTCCCACACTACTCAAGGGTCAAAAGTTTATCTGTTTCTAAATATCATGAAGAAACAAAAGTAAAGGGAATTCTGTACTATTTACCCTCAAGAGATCCATGAAGGACTTAGATTAGGTAGATTAGAGAGAAGGAAGTTGGGGAGAAGTGAATTTTAATAGCTTTTGAATGTGGGAAAACAAATACCTAGGACCACTTACATAAAGTTTTCTGGATATTCGCTCAGGGCCATGTCAATGATGTTCAGGGCGTCATGGTAATGCTTCTGTGCTGACAGTAAGAGGGCAAGCAGGTGCAGAGAGTTCACATCATCACCTTGAAGCTGAAGAGCTTGGCGGACGTACCCCAGAGCCTCTGGTATCTGGTTTAAAACAAAACCCAAAAGAATTTTTAAACACACATGCGCGAGCGCACACACGCGAAGCCACCACTTCAAGATCTGATTCTCTGCAAATACCAAGAGTTGTTTCACCCTGTATGTACCACATTCAGATTCTAAGGCAAGTCTTTTTGAAAGCCCCAGGATATTAGCCACACACATGGAAACGCATGCGCTCTTCCGGCAACGGTCTCACCGATGAAGCGATACTAGAGACCCTGTTTCTCTGTGTAACTGCTAGTAAATACCAAATCTTTTGTTTCTGCCTAAATAATACGTTCGCTCTAAATGGAGACACATACAAATTGCCAGAGCTTTTTAGTGGAATTAAAGTGCCTTAGCCAAACTGTTCTCATTTTTTAAAGTATTACTGAAATGGAAGTGCTTAGTAAGTTATAAAACCTTTAACAAAGCTTTCCAAATAATCAGACAACCAGTGATTCTTTTCAAATTCCTTTGTCTTGGATCTTCATTAGACATCAAGGAAATATGCAAGCAAATAAACAAAACCCCCCACCTTCCCAAACTACAACCCCAAATAACTTGATCCAAGAAACAAACTGCAAGGCCACATACAAAGCAGATGGATCCAAATTCAAGTGACCAGGCACAACCTTAACCTTTACATGTAACAGCTGTTGCAGACTTTCTTCAAAATCACTCAAGCGCAATGGCTGATAAAATGCACACGTAATGAGCACTGAACACCCCAGATCCCATGCAGGTTTGGCAGCGCCTGGGGAGAATCAGAGCCTGAAGGTGGATTTCTATGATAAACAGAGCTGGAGACTGAAGCTTCTTCCTCGACTGCCCCCAGGATCCTTCCGGTCTCCCCTCCAACCCTAATGCTGGACCTCCTCTCAGCTTTCCTGCTTCTTCCCAAACCCTCAGCAGCCTCACTCCTTAGTAGGAGGCCACGACTTCTGTCTTTCCCAAATCCGTTAGCGTTCCGCTCTGAAATTCTGTTTCTGATGGATTTAAGTTGTAAATGCTGGCTGTAGCGGCTCTGTGCTTTGAACCATAGAATCACAGCTATCGCAGCTGGAAGAGACTCATATGGCCCAATCCTTGGTTTACAGGGAGGGAAGCTGAGTCCAGAGGACGTGGAATGACTTGACCAAGGTCACTCGGCTATTGAATGACTGAGGTGAGAGTGGCTCTAGCTCTTCTGATTCCTCTTTCATCTTCCCCTTCTAGTCAAATGGCATTGGCTCTAAAGATAAATAAGAAGGCCACAGCCTCCTTCCTGCCAGAGGTTTGGTGTTGCCATTGCTGCGAGCTCACAAAGACTGCTGACACCCACAAGCCTCCATCTACTTAGTCATTCCTCAGGGTGACAACCGGCTATGTGAACAGCACTCCGCCTGGGGTTGTGGGGAGGGTCGAAGGCAGGGTATACTCATGGTGCCAGTTTGCAGGGATGACCAGAACAATCAGGGACAAACTGACACAGGGTTCAAAATGATGTCCTTAGGGATAGTTACGTGAAGGAACTCAAAGCTGGTTCCTCCATCAACAGGTCCTCTGAGTGCCTCCCGCCTGCCAGGGTACAGCAGTGACGATGACAGACATGGCTTCCTGCCCTCGTGGCACCTCGAGTGTAGCGAGAAAGACGCTGAACAGGAGAGCTGAGCAAGGGGGAGAAGCAGTGCAGGCTGCTGCAGGAAAGAGGCTCCACAGGGGAGGTGAGTTAAGGTCCTGCTGGGGGCGGGGGCCAGGGGCCCCCACAGCTGTTGCAGCAGCAGCTCTTGCTCAGTCCAGCTTCAGACCACACCTTGCCAGGTGAGAGGACCTTTACAGAGGCGGTATCCTGGTTTCCTAAGTCCCCAGGTCGCCAATTGGGACCCATGTCTCAACACCATTCGCAGGCCTCCGGGAAGTGAGATGCATGCCTACAGCCCAGGGCTGCCAGGGGAATGGCATGTCTGGGAGCTGGCCTTTGAGTCACCCTCCAGTCAGCACTCAGGAATGTGCTGCGGTTACCACCAGTGTCTTGCACCTGGTGGACAGGCAGGCAGGTGTGTGGCCAGGGCCTCCAGGACAGCTGGGAGGGGGTGGGAGGGGACAAGAATGGCGAAGGCAGCTTCTGGAAACTACCATTGGGAAGATGAAGGCCAGCAAAGCTTGCCCCTGCAGCAAGGACACTGTTGAGTCTCCTATTTTGAGGAGCCAGCATGTGTAACTGTTTATATCTTCTATGCATTTTAAAGGAACTGGTGTCTTTTGTCTATGCCTCTGGCATCTTGCTGTCAATCACCAATACCCTTATGTCAGCCAGGCTCCAACCAGTGACTCAATCTCCACCATGCTGAGAGCTCAGCGCTGGGCTCCGTTGGCAAGGGACACAGCTCTTTGATGACCCCTGGGGTCAGGGTATATGCCATGCACTGTATCCATTGCCATCGGACCCCAGATTGGGCCCTCCAGGTCTGTGGCATGAACCTCCAAAAGCACAGCCTGGCACGCTGGTGTCTTCATAGCGTTATGTTCAAACTGACCAAACACCAGGGTCCTCGCTGTGTGGGATTCAGGGTCCTCCGAGAGCCTCAGTGAATGGAAGACCAGCTACTGGCTCCAACTGAGGCACTGAAGGAACTGTATCAAGACCGAGGGTGCACCAAGTTCAGGAAGCATTAGAGAAGCTGACCTGTCTGGAGATGGCAAGCTGCAGAGCCAGGTAGAAAGCTGCTTGGTGATCCGTAGGGGACAGGCTGTGGGCCCTGCAAAGGTATTTATGGCTGTTAGAACACGGGCAAGTATTCACAGTTGCATTTTTATACCAAGGTCACGTATTCAACTATTTAATGTTTCATTTAGACGCATCTCCTTTGTTCACTAACAAATGTAAAGCATTTTCCCCTTCACTGTATGTAGGTATGACACAGGAGCCTGTTTCTGTGTTTTGTCCAGACTCTGAAGTGGCAGCCAGTGACCCTCAGCTTTGAGGAGGAGCCCGAGGTAAAGAGTCCTCAGGCCCTGAGCCCCGAGCGCCTCCGCAGCCTGAGCAGGAGAGGCCGCCTGTCATGCGGGGACACGGTGAGGCCAGGAGTGCACGTGACAAGGCAAGGCTGATTTGGTTAAGTTTTGGCTTGGCCTTAATGCTACTTCATCCATATTTCTGGATTTCAGAGAAACCAGATGAAAACCAAGACCTGGCTTTGCTTATAAAATGAGGTTTTGGTTTTTGATGAGCTCTAGGGTGAAAAGACGGGTACTCGGTCTCTAGACGCTTCTGTTAACTTCCATGCAGCTTACTAATTTAGTCCGTGTAACTCTGACTTGTAAGACTCTGTGGCCAAACACTAGGTTTAGTTTTATTAACAGGCCTGTGACACCGGATGGGAAGAAGGTGTACTGGCCTCCTAATTGATTGCAAACGTCATTCTTGCTTTTATGGGGAAGTCAATTGTGTTTCATCACGAGCAACTCAAACAGAGCAACTCAAACTGTGACTGTATAGGAGACACAATTCTGTGTTTAGCAGCCTGGAGGGAAGAGCAAAACAAACTTTTACTTCCTTGAAAAGGCACTATGGAACAGACTAATTACAAACGGTGGGACCCAGATAGTAAACAAACCTTCTGCCATTCTGTCAACATTCTGTGATTAAAGGAGGATCTTCTACCAGCAGAAGACACATTCAGGATAAAGAAGAAAGCCAAATCATTACAGATTCCATGGTGGCAAACATGCGAAGAATGGCTTCCGACAGTAATAAGGCCTTTTAATGGAATTGTCTGTCTGCTGTGGGGGTAAAAGACTAGAGTCTTTCAGGTGTTTGCCACCCAGAAAATGTAAGTCTGACGATCCAGGACGTTGTTTGGGCAAATGTGGCAGCTCATGTACGTGACTGGGGGGGTCTCTGTCTTTTTCTTCATCTTAAGAGCAAAGCACCTAAACTCCCATCTCAGTAACCGTGCCTCAAGACACAGCCTTCTCACCTTAGTGTAAGAGGCCATCTGCCTGCATTGCCTACCCCCTCTTTTTTAAAAGATTTTATTGGGGAATTGGGGAAGGGGAACAATGTTGGGGAATTGGGGAAGGGGAACAGCCAAGCTGTCCTTCAAACTTAGTTGTGGAGCGCGCAGCTAGCTCAGCTCCAAGTCCAGTCGCCATCCGGCCGCCCGTCAGCAGCTCACAGCCACTCAGCTAAAGGTGCCGTGTTCAATCTTAGTTGCATGTGGGCGTAGCCCACCATCCCATGCGAAGTCGAACCAGCTACCTTGTTGTTAGGATCATGTGCTCTCACCAGCTGAGCCATCTTGCCACCTATTGGCAGCTCAGCTTGGGCACAGCTCACTGGCCCATGTGGGAATTGACCTGGTGACCCTGTTGCTCAGATCTTGCGCTCTTAACCAACTGAACCACTTGACCGGCCCCTGCATTGCCCCTTTAAATGTCTGTTTCTACCAGTATGCTCCAGTTTTTATTATTTCATAAGTATTGGTTTTCCATGAATTTGCACATCAAAGAATTTTCTTCTTTGGTGTTCATAAGAAGTGAGAGTGGAATGTCATGGTTTCTGTCTCTCCCAATTATTCAGGGAAATTGAATACAAATTAATTATGAAAAGACTTTGAATTATTTAGCATTCTTTATTTTATCTCATCTTCTTTCATAATTAATAAAAAGTCAGGTTTCTACAGCCCTCAAAAAGAATTCCTCAGAGCTATCATTTTCTCAGCCCAGTTTAGATTTTCCACAAATGAAGTTAGATCCGATCATGGCTGCCTCCACCCAACACCAATGGTCTGGTGAACTCAGAGTAATGGGTACAAGGATAGCTCTGACCACAGGTCCCACCCGGGGCCTCATCAAATGGTTGTTAAATGTCAGCCACAGAGCTGCGAAATAAAACAAACCAGAAGTGCTAGAAATCTTGGCATTTCTGGGGTGCATTAGGGCAACATCTGAAGAATTGCCAATTTGGCCGATGATGGGTATCTAACTGCCAAATTTCTTATGAGGCACAACTTAAACATATACATTTTGAAAAGTCTTATTTTGATAATTGGGCTAATGAGTTCCAGCTCACTACTTTAGCCTATGAAAGAAGAAAGAAAATAAAAGGGAATGCCCAACAAAACAAGAAAAAGCGCCTGGTATTGGTCTCATGAGATTCTTCAATTGTGCACGTTTCCTGTGACAAAACCACTTTATGTGCCCACAGCCAACATGCTGGGCAGATATCATCAAGCGATACAGGTGAGAGGAAAGATATTAGTGTTCTTGAAAACTGTAAGCCCGCTGAACTCTGCACATGAGTATAACGCAGCCCCATAAACCCCATTCTCATATGGTGGGCACGTGGGTGGGGCTGCTAAGAGAAACCCAGAGACCTAAAAATGTCACCACAGGGATGCTCATAAGGTGCATCTCTTGTTAAAGTACCTCTACATCCATTAATTCAACTTTCATCCATAAGGAAAGAAAGACTTGTTAGACTGCTGGCTTACCAGGCCGCCCATCCATCCATCCATCCATCCATCCATCATCCATCCATCCATCCATCCATCCATCATCCATCCATCCATCCATCCATCCATCATCCATCTATCCACTGACCCACATTATTTAGCACCTGCTGTGATGCCCGGCCTGTGCCAGCCTCTGGGGAGCCTGGAGATGAATCATACAAGTGCCTTTCCTTGAGGAGCACCCTTTCTCCCCCAGAAGGGGAGACCGACCCACGGTGATGATTGCAGTGCAGTGGGAGCAGAGCCCTGAGGGAGGCATGCCAGGCTGCCACTGGACAGCACGAGATGGGCCTCCCAGGCCTCCTGGCTCGAACCCAGGAGACCACGAGGTCCACCCCAGTGCTTTCCTAGACTAGTTCTACCATCCTCTAAAGCTGAACCAAGAATATAGAGAAGGCGGATCAATTTCGACTCTGGTCCGTAAGACACATACTTTGGAGCAATAATAACTGCAATTTACGGAGCATAATCGATTCAGCATTTAGTCCAAGAACATCCAGCAAAAGACACAGAGGTAGAAATGAAATTCTGAGCCCTGATCTCTCCACCACATCACCCGGCTCTCTTCTCGAAGTCCTTTTCAGTCCTGCTTACAGTAGACATGTGACTAGAGTATTAAGTTAAGAAAAAAATGCACGAATCTGGTTAAATCTAGTACTTAAGAACCTCCCATTAGTTGCACACACGGGAGGACCAGCGTGTCCTGGTTTGCCCAGGATTTTCCTGGGTTTAGCACTGAGAGCTCCATGTTCTCGAAAACTGGGATGGTTGGCCACTACACACACACAAATCACACCCCATTCAAACTTAAACTCAAGCTAGGAGGGAGAGAGGACAATAGCGGAGACTGTGTATCACACTGAGTGACAATCACAAATGCCACCATGCCACCTCTTCCTCATGGAGCAGCTCAGAATCCTGCCTGCTGGGGTCAAGTCACTGAAACATGCTCTCAGCTGTTCCCAGGCTTGCTTTCTCCGTGGGATGTGAGAGCCCACAGGGGCAGCTACTCAGGTCAATTCAGCATCTTCAGAAAGCTTTGCCACAACACTATGTTTTCCTTCACTATACTTTTGTACGGGGCGCATGAATTGCTTTAGCTGTTTGGGCTGAGCTTATGAACATACGAACAGCCGAGGGTCTCAATGTTAAGAGGCAGTAATACAACTGGGATGCCTTCAAAAATCGCCTTTTGGAATCCACCAGAGAGCAAATCTTTCCGAAGTCTGACTCCAGGCATAATTAAGGGTTAGTTTTTACATGCTACATCTGCTACCCCAGCCCTTTTTGAGTTATACTGTTTTCTTTTTTTAAAAAAAATTGCCAAACAATAGTATAAATAGAATTGTGGGGAGAAGATTTAAAATAAATAGTAAAAAAAGTACTTCTCATCCATGTGGTTTTTAAAAATCCATCTACATTTAAGAAGTAATACAAATCATTATTTACTCAAAATCTTTCCCTTATTGATTAAGCCTAAAGTGCACTAGAATGGTGCTAGTTAATGTGTACTTGAAAGAAAATCATTTTACTTTTTTGAAAAATAGTCTTTATTTCACACAAATACAAATTTTGGTTAGCCTTCCCCAATAAATCACATAGGTTAGTAGGATTTTATTACTCTTTATTCCCACATGAACTAATATTTTAAAAATCTCTTTGAATTAAAACCCAAGTAAAAGAACAAAAAAAGGAATCCAGGCCAATGGAACAGCTGTTATGTAACATGAAGTTACGAGCTCTGGTGCTTCAAGGCAGACCACAACTAGGGCTGTTTTTGGAGAACCAGTAAGATGTGTTGGTTTAAGAAAAGTGAAACAGATGTAATGACCACTTTCTTAGGCATCCATACGTAGGTTTTACAGACTAGGACCTGAGAATTTAAAACGCCAAATCATTTGAAAGGGAAATGCTGTCAACAAAAGCTTTCTTAGCACAGAGATAGGAGATCTGTTTGCAGATGTCAATTGGTACCTTTTGTCATTAACTAGTCTGAGACTGGTAAGGTGAAGATACTATCGGCAAGCCTGCTAGGAAACAGAAAGAAATGAGATGAAAGAGTTTTGGACTAACTGAAACCAAGGGATAATGATTCCATGAAGAAAGGAATACATACACTGCAACAAATCTGTGGCCCACCCAGTTTTAAGGAAAGAAATCTAACAAAGGTTATTGGGTGTTGAGAGTCCCTCATGAAATTTTGGTATAAGTAAGTTTCTAATACGATTCCAAGAAATAAATGTAACTCAGATATAGTTAAAATGAAAGGGTTCACAGCAATTGTAGATTTGACATCATGGGGCTATATTTTCAAGCAACAATTCATTTTAGTGATTTGTTATACCTGCAATAAAAATAAAATTAGGGCAGTATAGTAGGTACCAGAAAAGCTGGGTTAGAGTCAGGAGACCTTGATTCTATCTTGACTTCAACAGCTATGTGACTCTGGTAATTCTTTTCACCCCTGCATCTCAGTCCCTTACCTGCGGTAAACATACTACTTGTCCTATCTACCTTACTGGCGTGGGACTGAGGATGAGATAAAAAAAGGGACTGAAGGAACTCTATGACACGCAAGCATTTTCTAATTTTAAAGCACTCTCCAAATTTCATGAAAGGTACAATGATGGAGATGAGCACAAGCTGTTATTAAGCAATACGGGGGAGGTTGGGGGAGGGGTGGGGGGCTGGGAGATGCTGGCCTGATTGTCTTGACATAGTATTTCAGAGACTGTCCTAAAATCTGGCTTTTTCATTTCTTAACTTAAAAAATCTGAAGCTTGACAGGTTTTAAAAAAAAAGCAAGCAAAGAATGATCTCTTTTCTCGATGATGACAAATGTCTTTAATAAAAGGAATCATCTCCCTAGACATACAAAGTATCTGTCTTCTTAGAGCTGAACTCGCTTTATTAGGAATGAATACAATGTGCTCGAATGGATGAACAGATTAAGAATGCGGATTTACACGGCAACAAATGATGCAGCAAGTTTTGATACTGCATGTTCAGTGCTCGAGACGAAAGGCTCCCAGGGGTAAAACACTGTTTACATAATCTTTATAAATATCTCTTCTTTTTATACTGATCATACTTTGGTGTCATTATGTACAGCCGAGTGAAAAGATGAACTCCCACTCACCTCTGAAACGCAAGAAGCGCCTTTCTCTGCAGGACCTCCTGCATCCCTCGCAAAGAAGCTGAGGAAAGGGTGCAATTTTCAATTAGTCAGTGGCACAGGAGATCAGCGAGTTTCTGACAAATACAAAACTCAGCACTAACACTACACATTCCCTCGGGTTAAAAGCAACAAACTCTGGATGCCTATGTGCCCAGTCCTGTCCCAGGCACTGCTGAGGACAGGAAAAGAAGCCCAGGCCAACCCGAGGCCCTTGCACTTGTTGGGCATAACTGTGGAATGATGCCAGGGGAGAGTGTGAGTCGGACGGTCACTCTTGGCAGCCCCAGGCATAGGGGGCCGTCATCAAAGACCAGCTGGAACTCCAGAGAGGAGCACATCTGTTTTCTCAAGTGTAGGCACGTAACTCTTGGGTGAAGATGGGACAGGCTCTACCAGGATGGCATAGAAGAGAACTGAGCACCAATGGTGTTAACTGGACTCTCTTCAAGTTCCTACTGGCACTGAGAGGCTAGGGTCCAAGGCCAAGGGCACTAGCTTGATGCCATGAAAGCACAGTTTAATTCACACTGTGCAATGGCCAGGACCTCTGGTACCTTGATATGAACACAAGGAACAAACCAGGCAAACCCCACACTGAAAATGGAAAATCAGCTCAAAAGTGTGAGGCCATCTTGCTGTGAGCCAACACTTGCCCTGTATGGAGCATGTGAAAAATGGATCCCTTCGAGTCTGCTGTAGGAATTAAAAAGGTACGTTTTTTTGTGGCAAGAGAAAAAGTCCTGGAGGAATCTGTTTATGGCTGGAACCGGGGGAGGGCCTTATCTAACAAATCTCACGCGGCAGGCACGCTGAGAATGGCGGAAGGCTGCCCCCAGAGAGCCAGGATGTGGCTAACAGAACAGTGACAGAGCTAGAGCGAACCGCAGAGGTGACCCAACTGAATCATGAACGCAAATGAGGCCCACCAGGGTGGAGCGGCTCTCCCAAAGTTACAGGGCTAGCGAGGGGTAGGATCCAAACTAGGAATCTACATGGATAAATAGATGGCACTACATTTACGCTTCCCTGAAAGTCTACTACAGTTAAAACAATGTGCTGGGTATTGCCAAGATATCATGTGTATATGAAAAATTTGCAAAAAAACCCATGATTAAAAATCAATTAATATGTAAAACTTCTCCAGGGTCTTTGAAATTTTAAGGCAGTGGAAAGAAAGATTTGAGCAATTTGCTTAAAAAAAACTGTGAAGAAAGCATTAGTAGTCAGGATTGCATTTTCTCTTAAGGGGTCCGGGAAGGGCTCTCTGGGGGCTGGCAAGGGTCTGTCTTCTAAGCAGGGGTAGTGATTATAACGATATTTGCCTTTTACTAATTCATTAAATTACACATTTGTTTTTGATTTTTTAAAATATTCTTGTTATATTTAACAATAAAAATGTAAAGGAATAATAGTAGAGTTCAGAAAAACAATTTACCTACTTATAGTTCCTGCAAACATATCATTGAAAACTACATTAAGTTATACAAAACATTTTTTAGCCAGCAGCCCATCCACCAAAACTCTAAGTACATCCAAAACATAGAATGTCACGGCATGGGTATTTGGTGAGCTGCTGCACTTTGCATGTACATATCGGCGAATTAAAATGTGCGAATGGAGAAGGAAAGGGGCAGGTCCTGGCCAATCAAAGGAAGCTCCTGGAAAAGGAGGCTGGCCTGAACTCTTCTACCTTCTTGTGCCTGAAACCCAGCATCCCTTCACCAGGGGACAGCCCAGCCACGTGCTGGGACAGAGGTGGGCACAGGCTGGGTTGGGTGAATCGTCTCTCAAGGCCCCCTGCTCACCTGCACCTCAGGGCACATGCCCTGCACCTGCCAGCTGGCCACCTGTGCACCACAGCCCAATGCACCTGGAAAAGGGCTTAGGGCCCTGGCACCAGGCCTTGGTCCCTTCCCTCCCATTCTCCAAACAGTCCAAGCAAAGAAGGCAGCAGCAGTGGGGCCCCACAGGATGGCACACCAGGGTGACCCAGCTCATCCACCCTCCAAAGACGGGGAGCTGGGGCTCCTGCAGTGCAGATGGGTAGCCCAGCCCTGCACTCAGCAGCTCCCTGGGTGGGGCTTCGCTTACCGTCAGTGGCCTGCAGGCTGTACGCGAGCCCCAGGGCTAAGTAGCCTTTGGCCTTGAACTCGGAGGTTTTCTCTCCCGCATCAACAACTGTTTTGGCAAACTTCTCGGCTTCTTCCAACTGAAAAATCAGAGAAATGAAAAACAACAACAACCTGCAGAATTTCTAACATAAGTTCCCATCAGCATCTGCTGCCAAAAACAGATTTCTGATGAGTCACTGTGAACATAACTCCTAGATCTTCCAGTTGCACTCCCGTGACTCTGTTTTCTTTATTTGAGCCTTGCTCACAGACCTCAGGATTCCTACCTTCCCTTTTACTTTTAAAGTTTTCCGTATTGCATTTTGTCTTCTTTTCCAAGTCGCTTTCATTCTTGGTGGGGCTCTTATCCTTTTCATCTTTATATTTTACTGACTGGTTCTGTAATTAGGTTGTGCTAGGTACTCATATATGTAAATAACAAAGTTCTGAAATGTTCTGTGTTTGGGTCTTTCCTTTTTTTGTTTTTGACATAATGAATCCATTTAGGCTTGGATTTTCCTTCCTACAAACTGTTAAAAATATCAAAACTCCATCTACTTATTTTATAGCACATAGCACATGGGCCTCGCCTGAGCAGATTCCACTGAGAAAATGTGCACCTGTAAACTACACCCACAATGAGGCCTTTTGCACAATTCATCGGAGGCAAAAATAATAAGATTTGTTCTTTCAAAATATAGCAAATGTTGATGTTATTGAAGCTGGGTGACAGTACATGGGAGTGCATTATACTCTACTTCTGTGGTGTTTGGAAGTTTTAATAATACAAATATAAAACACATATACAGAAAAGATTTGTTACTCTCATCTTTGAAAAAAAAAAAAGAGTCGGGTTTATTTTAGGCGTTAGAGAAACGCGTGTTGCAGTAATGAACAGGCCATAATGGTGGCCGTACAGCACAGCCACAGCTGGAAACTGGCATTTTCAAAACTGAAGGGTTTGGGCCACTCCTCCGCCCACTCCCGGGGCCTGCTGGCATTGTTCCCTCGCTTGTGGCACCAAATTGTCAAAACCTGCACGGACCACACAATGCCTTCATAGCTGTGTTTCAGGCGACAGCCTGCTCTTTCAAAATGTCCTTTTTCTTCCACATTTTACCAAGTAAAAGCTATCAAAAGTGGAACACTTTCTTCACAAGGCTTACTTTTGTCCTGCTGAGTGAAAATAAATGGGGGGTTGGGGCGGGGGGAGGGGGGGGAGCCGCAAGGACCATAATGGTAAAAAACCTTAGCAAAGGACCTCAGTCTTATGAGCAATACTTATGAGCAATACAAAAAGAAGGCTTATGAGTCTTCTTATTGCCAATCTTGATATGAAGTGACAGAAAGGAAATTAAAACTCCATCATTCTGTGGAAATTATCTATACCACCATCTCAGCAACTAGTCTGAGATTCCTATTTTCTACTCAGATGGTATATTTTTGAGGTACTAACAGTGTGACAAATCAGGCTATTCCCAAATTTAAATGTGAACAAGAATATCCGAAGAGGAAAGCTGTAAAGGTGAAGGAAGAGGTGAAAAACCTTGGGTTTACACACAAGCTGAAGTCGATGGAGACACTTTGCTTTACACAGAAACAGGTTCTGCTGAGAGTGAATCCTTTATTGGCGTATACAGTAATACCTTGGTTTGCGAGCATAATTCATTCTGGAAACAAACTACTCGTATTGCAAGATGTCGCTCGTTTACCACGTTAAAATGTATTAGAAATGTTTGCTCGTCTTGTGGAACACTTGCAAACCAAGTTACTCGCAATCCAAGGTTTTACTGTACCACCTTTTCAGTCCAGCGTTACCTTCTTACAGCAAGATGCATAGGAGTACGAATTCCACTTCTATCTTATCATTTCTACTTTTGAAGCACATTCCTATGAGAAAGGAAAGCCTGGAGTCCCCCGGAACATATTGGTTCCCTCTGTTCTGGGGGAGGCGGAGCGGGGTGGGTGAGGCCCGAGGAGGCCAGGAGCCCCGGCCAGGGGTCCCAGGCTCTGAACGGCGGCGGAGCGGGGTGGGTGAGGCCCGAGGAGGCCAGTGGCCCCGGCCAGGGGTCCCAGGCTCTGAACAGCCCCGTGTTTGTTTTCTCTCAGTGCCTTGAAATGACAAAGGCTGGTAGGCCTGCCCATGAGCAGAGGCCCAGCCCCACTCACCCAGTGAAGGGAGCCCATGCACAGCTTGGCCGCAAGGAGTGGGATGGTGGCATCATCGGGCTTCAGACGGATGCATTCTCTCAGCACCTTCACGGCGCGGGCAGACTTGGCAAAAGGAGATTATTTCTGTGAAACTCAAAATGTTTGACAGAACCAGACACTAAAGCCTTCCCAGAGGGATTCTTAGTAAGATGCCGTCTTAATGAGGTTTTCCATCTGTGAGCCCAACCACACAGGAGCCTGGGGATGGCGATAAACCAGAGGTTGGGGCTCCTGAGTGACAGGGGAGTAAACTGTGGTTAAAATAAGTGGAAATGCTTCCCTGGAACTACCCTAGTTTTCTTCCCTACTTAAGTAGCCACTGTAAAAATTAGAAAAAAGTAGACAGTGGAGGCTTACATTATTATAAAAAATAAACTAGACAATTTAAAGCATACCATACTAAATTTGTCTCCACTTAGCCCAGATAATCTTCTATCACAAACTTAACCATTCACTAAAGAGCAGATTCATTAAATAGCCCAAATTAACGAGAATAACAGTGGCTACAACCTTTATTCAGTGTGTTCTGCACCTTTGGGTAGTCTTCATTTACCTGATACCAATTCTATGAATAGGTGCTACTATGACTCCGTTTTACTGAAGACGAAACTGAGTCACCTGCCCTGGGTCACACAGCCCAGGCCTCAACTCCAGCACTTGGATTCCACCACCCACACTTCCGCCGAAGGTCATACACTGCCTAATACATTGCTAAAGATAATGAAAAGATTTCCCTTCGGGGAATGAGTTTATACTCTCAAATAAGTGAAATGGTCAGTGTGAAGAGCTAGCCTTAGGTTAAGCCACATCTTCACATGATGAAGTTACAATGGCTACAAAAAGGCAAACGTTTCAGAATTTTTCTGCCCAAGGATGTGTCATGTTAATTCTCAAATAATTAAATTTAATTGTTCATGTATAAATGAACACAAGGCAGTTTCAAACAGTTGGTTTAGACTTCAACTAGGTATTCTATCACCCCTTGGGACTCAAAGACACTGACCAGGGACACAGAGAATTGCATATCACGAGGGGGGACTTACTTTTCCGGCAGCCATGAGCGACAGAGCAAACTGGTACCAGAGGTGGAACTCCTCAAAGGCAAACTTCATGGCTCTTTCTAAGCACTGGTTTGGAAAGAAGGACAAATGCAGACACCTGAGAATGGCCAGTGTTACGGCTGTGAGTTTGTGTCTGTGCACACTAAGATAAGTCCCACAAAATCTGCTTCTCTCAAATGCTTACAACCTAATCCTCCACCAAACCCCTCCTGCGGAGTCCCCACCAGGTAGGATGCGCTGTGCCAGGAGCCAGGACAACCCACAGCTGACTAAAACACAGTCCTTGAACTCAAGTAGTTTTTCTCCTAGTACCAGGAAGGAGGTAGCTACACACACAGTTCAAATACAAGGCCCAAACTCACACGTGTCCCAAGAATGCAAAATAGAAAGTACTGTGGCAAAGTGGCCACAGGATTCAGGAATGGTAATCCTGGAAGAACGGTATTTGAGCCGGGCCTTGATTACTGAGGAGAAAAAACAAAAACGCACAGCTGTGGTTTGGAGATGGCACTCCAGGCAGAGGGGGTGTGAACAAAGACGGGGAGGCACGGCAGTGCGTGCTTCGACTTGGTGACGGTGCGTGGTCCAGGATAAACCCAGCCTAGGGCACTGGGGCAGGAATGGAGAGAGGCAGCCTGGAAGGCCGGCATGGGCTGGGGCCACGTCTGAGAGGCTGACATGGCGGTTCCTTTTCAAAGTTGCTCCATCTCCCTCTCTCACCCCAGCTTTGGTTCTTCCTCTTCTGTGCTCCTAAGGTTCCTAACTATATGGTTTTTTTTGTGTGTTTTTTTTATTGTTAGTTTCAGGTGTACAGAACAATGCAATAGTTACCCTTTTCACCCTCACAAAGTAACAACCCCCCTCCCCCCATGTATTGCCCTCCCACCCCCGATATCATGCTTATCTATTAAAATTCCATTGATTCCATTCCCGCTCTCTACTCCATGTCCCGAGACTATATGTCTATATAATTATAGTTGACATACAATATTATTGAACATCAGCTTCAGAAATACAGTGTGGTGGTCAGGCCCCTACACCGACTATGAAGCGGTCTCCCCAACAGGACATGAGTCCATCTGGCCCCCTAAGAAATATTTACAACATTACTGATTATATTCCTCAGACTGTCTTTTTCTATCCCTGAGGCCATATTGTAATTACCAATTTGTATTGTCTCATCCCTTCCCCTTCTCCTTCATCCCCACCCCCTCCCAGCTAACAACCCTCAGTTCTTCCTCTGTGTCTCTGAGACTATCTCCATCCACTTCTCCCATCCATTCAGTTCCTTAGAATCCACGTATAAGTGAGATCATATGATATTTGTCTAACTATATGTTAATGTGACTGTCTTCATCCTTCCTGCCCTAGCCCAGCCCAGCCCAGCCCAGCCCAGCACCACAATGAGAAGTTATCTAGGGCAGAAATCCTGACTTCTTCGACTCCTCAGTGCCTGCCTGGGGTGGGTAATCTACAAATCACTCACTCTCAGTCAGTGAGGAGCCTCTGGTTTCTGCAGAGTGACATGATCACATCAGAGCTTTAGGAAGATCATGGTGGTAGGGGGTGATGTAAGACAAGAATGGAGACAGGCTAGGAAAAAGGTGGAAAGAATGGTTCAGGGACTTCAGAACTAAGTGACAGGAACAAGAAATGTGTATGACTCAGAGTCAGCAAGGACAGGTCACCCAAAGAAGGGGAGGAGGGGTGGCAGCTGATGAGGCGTAGGGACGGAAGGAGGCCCTCAACGTCGCTGGCCTGTGTACCTGGGAGCAAACCCATGGCAGGGAAAGCTGTTGTGTATGTACGCGCGTGCATATGTGTGTATGCCTATGTGCGTGCGCACGTGCACGTGTGTTTTTATGAGATAAAGAGATTTAAAAAAATTTTTTTATGGGGCCAGCCGAGTGGCTCAGTTGGTTAAGAGCTCGCTCAAGAGTTTGAGCTCTGAGCAACAGCGGTTCGAGTCCAGCCCGAGCTGAGCAGCCGCTGAGCTGCCAACAGGTAGCAGGATGGCTCAGCTAAAAAAAAAAAAAAAAAAAATTTTTTATAATAAAGTAGAATGGGAAAGAAGGGTGTTTTATTAATGAGTTTGGTATGAATATGGTGAGTGTCGTGCGGTGATTTACTACAGATAATTAGAGACAATGTGGGGCCTCAGAAGAAAGATCTAAAAAACACATACATTTGAACTGAAAGAAATTTTAAAAACCCATAAACAATTGGAAATACATCCTATGTTCATGGATTGGAAAACTTAATATTGTGAAGATGTCAATACTACTCAAAGTGATCTTACAGTTTCAGTGTAATCCCTATGAAAATCCCAATGGTGTTTCTTGTAGAAATACAGAAACCCATTCTAAAATTCATCCTAAAAATTTCAAGGGACTCCAAATAGCCAAAATAACTTCAAAAGGGGGGGCGGAAATTAGAAAAAGAAAACAGAGCTGGAAGACTCACATTTTCTGATTTCAAAGCTTACCACAATGCTACAGTAATGAAAACTGCATGGTACTGGCATTAACACAGACCCCAAAGAATTGAAAGCAGGGATTCATATCTGTACGCTGATGTTCACAGCAGCATTATTCACAATAGCTAACATGTGAGAGCAACCCAAGTCCATCTATGGATGAATGGATAAACAAAATGTGATATATAAACACAGTGGGATATTATTCAGCCTTAAGAAAACAGGAAATTCTGACAAACTGAGGAGATAAATGAGGTCCCAGAAGACTAGAGAGAACCAGGTCCCTGGAGCGAAAGGAAGGCCTTCTCTTCTGGAGGCAGATTCCTTAAGATAAAGAGGAGAGGCCCTTCAGGAGCCGTCCCGCCCAAACACTGTTTTCTCTGTAAAGATAGAATGAGGTGATGGTTGGGAGGAAAGAAAAATAACAGGGTTAGGAGTTTTTAAAAAGAACAGAAGAGCTTTAAACAACAACAAAAACTTCACCCTGAAGGGACAGCATGCCCACATCAGGGTCACCTCAAAGACTGCTGTGGACAAGCAGTGGCACCTACAGCACCGTGCTGCCGTTTTCCCTCTAGTGATGCTCTGTGGCCAGCCCAGGAGCAGGGGAGAATCTCAGGATTAATGGATGGACAGAGAGGGTGACAAACTGGAGGACATAATAAATGTAAAGTAAGGTGGTGGGAGAAGAGAGATAAGAATTCCAGAATTTTAAATGGTATTTACAGAGGTCACAGTAAGTATTATGCTAGCTGGTTTGCCGTGAAAACACATCCTAATGAAAATATATTAAAAAGTGAGGTAATAGGCAGTTAATAAGCATCTACTATATGCCTAGTGATGGAATAGGATGGATATCTGCAGGTCTCAAGTAAGATGAACACCTGGTTCCTCTTTTGAGCTCCCTGGCAACATGCTTAGCTGCAATCTCAGGGGTGACATGTGACTCTACTGTGGTCAATGAATGTGATGTCAGCAGAAGTCACTGGGTGAGGCCTCCAGGATAGCCCATTAAGAGGAAGGCATACTCAGCTGGTGCACGATTTGCCCTCAGCCCTGGCCCTTTCTTCTGCCTGGGATGCAGACCTGATACTGGAGTGGGGGCAGCTGGGAATTGAAAAGCATGAAGACAAAAGCCACTCTCTACAATGACTGAGCAGAAAGAGAGAGAGCACAGGGCCCTGATGCCATGAGATTCTGCAGCGTCTCAGCAGCCTTCTTGCCTGCCATGGGGGAAAAAAATATACTCCTATTTGGTTAAGCCGCTCTAAGCTTGTTTTGTTAATTGCATCTGGATACACCTCTCACTGTTGTAGACCCTCAATGGCAGGGATGGGATCTGAACCTGACCCCAGAGCCCGCTTCACTGCTCTGCTGTCTTGATAAACAACAGGAACCCGTTACTGTGCCTTTAAGAAGCACCGTGGGGAAAAATACTGAAGCAGCTTGCTGAAAAAAATCTAGTAGTCAAGATGGGGTGCTGGGGGAATGACCTAATCCAGGTGTGGAATAAGTCGGGGCGGGGACAGGTATTATGGAGAGAACGCCAAGCTAAAGCTAACAGTACGTAGACACTAATTTAGGGAAGGGGACGAGGGCTGATGAAGGAGGAAACGAGAATCCTAATCACAGCGGCTGGGATCAGGCAAAGGAGCCGCTCTGTGGAGGGAAGGGGTAGAGGGTGATAAAAAATGAGGTTTGTTCCAACAGCTCTACTCAACTAATTCATTGCAATATAACCACTAAGTACTTAAATATATACACAGAAACAGTTAGATGTTTAAATGCTTTTCTTCCTCCTTTTGCTAAGAGGAATGATAAATATTAACTGTTTTCCTGATAAACAAAAGGAGCTCAGCAGCTGAAACAGTCTGTTCTGAATCAAAAGCTAGATGCTATAAATAAGCGAGCATCCTTACTTTCTTTTCTGCCAAAGGCTAACATACTCGTTCTACTCGGGGGAAAAACGCACACTGGAAGCCCAACTGGTAGAGCGCTCCATTCCACGTGCTGCAGAAAAATACCAGCCCTCATGTAGTAGACTCAGGATCTTGGGGCTACGAGGGAACTTGGGGAGCATCTAGTTGAAGTCCCCAAAAGAGAAAACATTTGTCATTTTGGCTGCCTATCACCTTCAAATTCTTCTGATTTTTTGTTTTCGGGGTGGAAGGCACCCTAGATAGAAGGGAAACGGCCAACAGGAGTGTGTCACATGATCCAGGCACAGCCAATCAGATGCTCCTGTAAGTGCTTTGCAAGGAGCTAGTGAGGCAGCGGGAGAGACCATTCATTGGTTGTTATTCCCAGGGGCCAGACCTGGGTGCAGTAGGGTTGGTAGAGGCCTTCCAGGGTAAACTGGGGCAGGGACCTTTTCTCTTCATTTCTGTTCATACCCATTCTTTAGCCTTCTGTGGATCCTGTGAGCAGTATGCACCAATAAATGCCTTTTCTGCTTGAGTTAACCAGTCAGGCTGGTGCCTACACCCAAGACCCTGAAGGTACGCCCAATCAAATACCTCAGGCCCCTCTTAAAAAAACCCCTATCTTCTATCTCCAAACAAGCTAAGAACCTTCCAGAATAGGGAACTCA